GAAATGAGAAGACACCAATAACCTGTTGGTGTAGTTATGGAGGAAGTAGGAACAGGAGAAACAGATTACCACTTGCAGCTCGTTACTGGCCTGATCGGGTTCTGAAATTTAATGACCTGTAGAAAAATGTGGAATATATAAAGTGTATTGAAAGTCCAGCTCATTTGCAGTCTGATATGATTGTGAGCTTTCTTAAAAAAAAATAGAATGGCATATAGCATATTTTAAAATTATCTGTGGAATCTGTATACTTTGTAACAGTAGACCTATTTTTCTGAAATTATACCAGGCATAGTCCTTCATTACTTTAATTAGATGATCTGTGATCTATGTAAAGGTTTCCCCCCACTTTTGAACAGAGAGTTTTTGCCATTGAAGACCTGCTCTTCACTTAGAAAGGGCCATTTTCTTGATGAACTGAATAATTTACTGTGCGTGATTGTTCATTGCCTTCAGTTTTCAAACTTGCCGGATTACTGACTTACTGCCACTTTCCCCAAGAGATCGTTTATTCAGACTCGCTGGCTTTGTTTACCTTTTGTCAAGGAAAAAGAAATCTCTCCGGAGAAGATTTGCAGCCCGCTCTCAATAATAAGATGGTAAAGGAAGGTGGCATAAAGGCTTGGGTCAGAAAATGAAGTAGTATTTACATAGTTCCAAACACTTTGGAGTAATCTTCGACTGCCAGTGGTTTAAGTACAAGTTGGGAAGTCAATTCCCCCCGTGCCTCCTTGATAGGGGATGGAGTTGATGATCCATAGGGCCCCTTCCAGCCCTGCAGTTCTAAGATGATGATGATGATGATTAAAAAATATCAGGCAAGGTCAATCAAAACTCTCAAAACATTGACTGGTATTGTATAACAGATACAAGTTTTGGCAAAAAAACTAAATCATCATCTTATTGGCCTACAGGCAGCACCGTCCATGCTCTGCCAATGATGATGACAGTGGTGCATCTGCAATCTATGATTCCACTGACACACATGCAATCATTGACTTACTGGTGAAGTTTTCAATGATTTTGAGACCTTCCACTTTCCCAAAACATTAATTTTTTAGTCCTTGGAACAGTCATTGAAATGCAAGAAAATAGCTTGGTGAAATCTCAGATATTGGAGTCTGGATCTCTGTGTACATGTGAGCATGTATTGCTCAAAGGACATATATTTAGCTAGAAGGAAAGGGAGGCTTAGGACTTTAACTAGCTCCTCTCTTCATTTCTCTCCAACTAGAAGAAAACAAATGCATCATGGAAATCCCCAGATTTTCAACTTACGAGGGCCTTGCACACTCCATTCAGTTGACAGAGGATGTGTTTTCTTGATGCAGAATCCCAGCAGAGAATCAATGCTGAATTAGGCAATAGGAAAGTCACAAACATAAGCTAGCTCTTGACTCTGAATGAGTCTTTGTCAGGCCGGCCATTACAGAGCTGGAGTTGGTCATCAAAATTTTTTAAAGTTCCAAAATCTATGGCCTGATGTGGATGGGTGGCTCTTTTTGTTTAAAGCAAGCTGGCTGCTGAGTCCTCTCAGAGATGGTAGGGGTCTTATTTCACCCCAGGCAATGTCAATTAGAATGTCTCAAACTTGTTAGACAAAGAGTTGTAAGTCACTAAGAATCCTTCCCTCACAACCCTTGGCATATTGAAATACATGGTTCCTTTTTGGCTAGGGACAGGGGCAAACAGAAATGTGACAGCCCCCATATCAGAGAAGTTGGGATAAAATGTCATTTTCTACACTGGGTAAGCCAGCGGCAACCAAACTAAACATATTATAAAGTGGTTAATAGAAGCAGTTGTCCTCAAATCACAGTTTTATTTGGGGGGTGTTACAGGTCCTTGCTTGCCTCTGGGTTGGTTATGCAGGGTAACCATAGTCTAACAAAAAAAGAAAAAGAAAATCCATGTGATTCTACACAATCTGAAGGCAACGGTGGGCAAAACCTTTATTAGATTACTAAAAAAAATCACAGACACCAATTACCTTTCAGCCCCGTACGAACTCTGTACTGCCAAGTAACACTGATACAGAATTGAAAGCTAGTGTTTGTGACTTTTTTTTTAAACGGCCTGATAAAAGTTTCACCAACTGTCTTTGGATTGTGTACAAGGACCACATACCTTCCTGTCTTGTGAAATGCAGAATTAGAACCAATTTGATTATTTATTTTTTATTTTGCCATAGAATTCATCGTTCGGGGAAGGTTCAAGAAAACCTTGGATTGCCACGAGGAGTTGATTGAGGACAGCGACTGTTTTCCATCGTGGTGGTGGGTGTCAAATTCACAACGTCTGGGAAGAATACGGTCCCTGGGAGCACTCAAGAGTTGACAAGGGAGGCTGCAGACTTAGTCACTATGTTTGGATGCCTGGGCATTTAGGTGTGGTCTTCAGGCATGTATTATGCCTGTGATGTAACAGCCCAGAGATTGTAGCGATGGCCAAAGATTGGAAGGTATTAAAAAGAGAGTTATACATTAAAGATGAATGGAACTTTCAAATGGTATGACTTGTTCGAGCCTGATGTACAAAAATACTTATGCTTCCAGTAGGTATTGACAGGGGTAGAAAGAGTACAACATTTTTCATTAGCTGTTAATGACCATGAACTGCTTAACCAGAAATATGTTAATTGTCTGCCTCTTGGATATGACTCCTCCTGTTGACTTCAATTAACTGTTAGAGCAGTACAACAATGGAACCAATAACCTCGGGAGGTGGTGAGTGCTTCAAGAGAAAATTGGCCAACCATCCGTCAGATCTGCTTTGATTTCGATTCTTGCCTTATGCTGAGGGTTGGACCAGATAGCCTTATTGTCAGATCTGCTTTGATTTGGATTCTTGCCGTATGCTGGGGGTTGGACCGGATAGCCTTATCGACCCATTCCAACGCCATTATTCTAAGGTTCTATGATTAATGGCGTACCAGTGAGATCTCAGTGTCAGCATGCAGCTAATCTTTGTGGCTGGCAAGACATAACACATTCTTTCGGTGTGAATGGAGGGCATTGATGCTTGACCAGGTCTGTTTCAACCACCATCAAACAGGGCACCCAATGTCCCAAGCGCAACCATATTATCATGTGACATTCCTGAGCGGAAAGTTGTCCGGTTCTTATCTTTGAAGCTTTATTTTTTATTTTAAAACTTCTGTGCCATACTCTCTGACATTCTGGCATCTAACACAGTGAGTGTCATAAGAAAACAAGAGAATATACAACATATATCCCGAAATCATTTGAAAGAGCAGAAACCACCAGGCACGGAAACAGTAAGAGAACAGCCAACAAAGATGAAAAACCAAATCCAATCACGTTCCATCAGCACAAAACACTGTGAGATGTTTAGGTCCATATCTCTGTTCCCTACAGAGAGCAGCTTAGGAGTCCACGGTGGGCTGGCGGAAGCTATCATCTCTGGTTGTGATCTTTGTTTGTGATCTGCGTCTATTCCTTTCCTACAAATCTTGAGAATAATTCAAGAGAAACAGCAAATGGGTTATCAGAGTAGCTGCCTGCTAAGAAAAAGATGAATTTTATCATAAGCAGTGAAAGATTTTCCTGGATGCAGGTGAACCCTCAAATTGTTTTTGTCCTTCTCACATGCTTATGCTTTCTTATTTGCACTTCAGCTGCAATGCATCTTGATAGATTTTACAATCACATATTCTGCAAACTTGATGTGCCTTCATCTGCAACATTGGTGAGCTCAGAATACCTTAGACACGGCTCCTGGTCACTCTCCCATCCAGAGAGCCCAGGCTCACTCTGCTTCTGCAACAGAGTTCGCTTTTATGCTTTTAACATGCATGTTGAAGGACCATACCTAGTGATCTTAGCCGTTTTTGCTTTAGTAGCTGCAGTGGTAGCTAGCCATGAAAATTATAAATGCTTGGCTTGAGTCTGTACAGATATCAGGATACAGCTGTATATAGTGTCAGGTAATATATTACACTAATGTCAGAAGGCTGAAGGACAGCTAAGGGGGAGGCAACACAAGATCAGATTTTCTAGCGACATGCTGAAATTTCCATGGATGGGAACACCATTTAGGAGAGGTTAGGGGAGGTCCGATACCTCTCCTTCTGTCCTGCAATAATATAGTCGTTCACAGAAGATGGGGCATTGTGGGCGAATGCCTTCTGGTTTTCGAGAAGACTTCAACAGGTATGTGAATCTCTAAATAAATGTTCAACCCAACCGTCGTAGCGCTATGCAATATACGTTACGGAATGTGTAGGGGGCATGGATAGACATCTCTTGTTCACGCGCTCTGTGCATATATGTGTACATGTAGGTAAAATAACTGAATGGCTGAACATCATGACCCATACCGAGAATTCCAAGGTTAAATAAGTTTATTGAGAATTAGCAGTTACGACGGTATATCAGATACCTTGTAATCCAAAGCTACACCTACATATTCGCCTCTAAATTCTCACATGTGTCAGTTCTCGCGTCTCTACACATTCCATCACCGGTTCTTCTATTTCTAATAATATTAATAATAATAATAATATAATTATAATAATAATACAAAAGGCAATGTCAACCACCATGTTGTGCTTCATACTCCACCAGAAGAAATTCAGTTGGCAAAAAGTAAACCATTTTCAGAAAGAAGGAGAGAGGAAAGAGAGCGCGCCAAGAACTTTGTTCATGTCAAACTGGAATTGTTGAAACAGAAGCACTGTCATAACACTACTAGAAATGACTTTTAAAAGTGGGTTAAAAGAAATGTTAATATATATTTTTTAATCATCATTATCTTTGTTAAAAATAATTCACATACCGTAATGGAGGTGACTCAAAGTTAAATCATCTCATTATCCGGCCCACACATTCAAGCATATTGGCTAGTTACATGATTACACTGTAACAAAAGCAATACAAGCCGTTATGGTCTAACCATTAACAATTTCCAGATTTCCCACCTATAAATATTCCAGGCAACCTAATATTTCTTGCATGCATTAAGGATTTTTTTTTCCATCCGTCCGTCCGCGCTGACTGAGGTGCCCTTCCTCCACCCTGGTCTCCCGACACCATTTTTGGGTGGCCACGATTTTGTCGCTTTTGGCCATTGTGGGAAAAGAGGTCAGCGTAACAGACCTCCATTTTAACACAAGAAACACGGTGTGTCTTTCGGGAAGAGAAACTGCAGATTGCTTAAGGACTTTTAATAGAGTCTCAGGTTGCATGCATATTGACACTGCTTCATTTATCTTGGTTCCCCCATGCCAGACGCATACAAGTCGGCAGGTATGCATACAAAAAAAACAAGGAAAGAAATAGAAAACCCTTCGTGGTGAAGCCTAGTGAATTAAAAGGAATCCATCGCTTTAAATTCACTTAGAGCCTGTACGGGAGAAATATGTTTCTTCTGAGACCCTCTTCTCACTCTTGTCTGATATTCCTCCGGCTTTTCTCTCTTGACTAACGGTTTCTTTTCCGGCGCCTTCATCTTCCAAGACACAACCGGCGAGTTGACAGCAGCTGTGCCATAGACTTTTTGATATTTGGTCGAAGCCACGTATGAAGCTTTTACAGTGAGGACCACGGCATTCATCAGGTTTTTAGCTGCTTGGATGAGTGACGTGGCACTGTCCAGCTGGAGGAAAGGAACAGAAAGCAAGGGAGAAGACGGTCAATGTAGGATGGGCTTGGAATCATTTGATCTGGTCATCTTGGTGGAGACACCCTGCACAAATAACTCTTCTACAAAGACAATTAACCGCTGGTGGATTATTATTTTCCCAGTATGTTGGAATGATAGGAGTGGCAGCTGAGCGTTTAGAGCTGGAACTCTTAATGGTCAATCTGACCAGAAGAGAGGTTGCATATGGGCTCACAACACCCGATCTTACTTGTTCTAAAGCTAAAAGCAGATCTCCAACTGATGCCATACCTAGATCAACATAGAATGAAAGGACAGCCATGGGCGTTAAAGGGTGTGGGTGCAAAACCGGCACAGATGCTTAGGGCACATTAAGCATTAAAGGCTACCAAGGTTTTTTCCTGGCACAGCCTGGCTGTCGTATGTTTTATGACAACTGGTTGTTGTGGGTTTTTCAGGCTCTTTGGCCATGTTCTGAAGGTTGTTCTTCCTGACATTTTGCCAGTCTCTGTGGCCGGCATCTTCAGAGGATAGGAGTAAAACTCTGTGCTCTGGTCTGTGCTACTCCAGATACTCTCCTGACATTTTGCCAGTCTCTGCCACAGAGACTGGCGAAACGTTAGGAAGAACAACCTTCAGAACACGGCCAAAGAACCTAAAAAACCCACAACAACCATTAGATCCCGGCCGTGAAAGCCTTCGTGAATACATTTTCTGACAACTCTTTGGATAATTTTCTCTCCTTGTAATTTTTGCACCCCTATTCCTTCTGTTCCCTCTGATATTAATCTCTGTGTATACCCATGGACCAAATTCTTCTTAGAGCTGTGTATACTCATGGACCAAATTCTTCTTAGAGATGGAGGCTTCATGTTCATATATGAATTATGAAACCCGCTGGCACGGGTGTCCAGCCTGACTACCCCCACCTTCTGGACCACTTACTGTGTGGCGTGTGCGGCCGATGTCGTCTTCTGTGCCCCAATTAGAGCATTAGCTCAGCTGCCACAGCCCTGCTTCCCTGGGTGAGACAGTGAGTCTCCCTGCTCAGCCACAAAATATTAATCTCTGTGTATACCCATGGACCAATTTCTTCTTTGAGCTGTGTATACTCATGGACCGAATTCTTCTTAGAGATGGAGGCTTCACGTTCATATACGAATTATGAAACCCACTGGCATGGGTGTTCAGCCTGACTACCTCCCACCCCCACCTTCTGGACCACTTACTGCATGGCGTGTGCGGCCAATGTCGTCTTCTGTGCCCCAATTACAGCAGTAGCTCCGCTGCCATAGCCCTGCCTCCCTGGGCCAGCAGGGAGGCAGGGCTATGGCAGCCGAGCTAATGCTACGATTGGGGCGCAGAAGATGACACTGGCCATGCGCACTGCAAGCTGCATGGTAAGCAGTGCCACAGAGTCTGTGGATGGGAGGCAATCAGGCCAGGCACCTGTGCCAGGAGGCTTTGTATTTGTATACAGATATGAAGCTCCCGTCCCATTTCTTTTATTATGCTTGGATTGGGGGGGGACTCCTCTCCAGCATGTATGTATCAACCCGCTTATCTGAGCTTGGATGTAAATTTCAGCTATCAGTTACCTCTGAATGACTGTTAACAGCCACCATTAAGATCTGCAGTTGTCACCTTCTAAGGAGTCTTACATAAACCTTTAATGGCCACTATTATCACAATGAACAGAAGAAACCTTTTGCTTTCCTATTACATTTTGCATTCTCCCCTCCCAGGTGTGCATTAGATATCTGACAATTGGTGTAATGCACCAGTGGCCCCCAACCTTTTTGACACCATGGACCGGTTTAGCATGCATGCAGGGTGTGTGGGCATCTGTGCGGGCATCTATGTTTGCAGGAGTACGTCTGTGTGTGCATCCGTGCATGCATGGACATGCGTGCATGGGAGGTGCGTGTGTGGGGGTAGCGTATGTGCGTCTGTTCATGTGGGGGTGTGGGAAATCTGTCTCCGCGGCCAGGTCCTGCCAAGGACACAGACCAGTACCAGTCCGCAGCCCAGGGGCTGGGGACCGCTGCTTATACACCATGCATCTGAAGAAGTGCACAGCAGTCCACCAAAAGAAAAAAGAAAGTAAGTAAGAAACAAAGCTTTCAAGGTGACACAAAACTATGTGAAACAAAACTTTCAGACATTATGCAATTCCTACTGAATTTGAAACTGCCAAATGGATTCAAAATTACTTGAAGTCAGCAATGTGTCACTGATGGCTTAAGGATATCCATATTGATGCCTCAAAGTCAGCTGAACAAGCAGACCAAGTCCTCACTTATCATGACTGGTCAGGCAAACTGCATGTATTATTCAGTTATTTATTATTTGTATCTCATTCTTTTATTAAAATAACCCATGTGGCTTATAATACACAAAGAGCATTATTATGTCAGAAGGTAGTGAAAACGATTGGATTGGAAACGCCTGTTTAACCAAACTAGCTAGCCGGTGTGAAACAAGAATCAAACTAGAGGGTAGATTTAGCATGTTTTGGGAAGTGCTCCCTCATGTCATGGAATATATGTCCATCTATTACAATTAGACATGGGGACAAATAACAAAAGGACTGTGCAATTCATGAAAAATCGCTGATTCATTAAATATTTGTCCCTTCATATTCATCAGTTCCAGAGAACCCAATGAATACGAAGGGACGAATATTTCCCCATTTTTATTCATCCCTTAGGGGTCCTATGGCTTGCCCATTCTGCCTATAGGCACCAGCCAGTCCCACAGCCACCCACCCCACAGTCTATCCCCCACCCCCTTCTCCTCCGTACCTTAGCTGCTGCCACCATCCACCACCGCCCAGCGCCGCCATCACCATCGATTGCTGCTTGCTGTGGTGGCCTCCGCAGCCATGGCCTGCCGTAAGGGACACTGGCTGCAGCTTCTTTTAGGGCAAGGAAGTTGCAGCTGCCATCTTTGCAAAGGGCAGCCTGGATTCCCTTAGCCTGCCTTGAGGGAATACAGGCTGCCCCTTGCAAAGATGGCGACTGCAGCTTCTCTTAGGCAAAGGGCAGCCTAAATTCCCTTAAGGCAGCCCATAGCGGCAGAGGCCATCACAGCAAGCAGTGCTGGATGGTGACTGCATAGGCCACTGTGGCATGGGCCTCTGTGGATGGTGGTGGTGGCAGCAGTGCAGACTGCAGCAGCCAAGGTAGGGAGGCAACAGGGGTAGTGGGAAGGGGGCAGGCTGTGGGGGTAGAGGGGTCAGCTTTTTTTAGACCCCCCCCACAAACCAACAAATATATTCGTGCTTTGTCCATGGGGAGGATATTCGTGCTTCATCAACTTTGACGGACCACGAAGCACAACAACTTGCCAAAATGGCAATTCATTCCCATCTCTAATTACAATACATGATTTTCTTCATCTATGTGTTTTGCCTTTAGTATGCTTTCTTTCCTCCTGGTCATCTGGTTGGTCACTGAAAGGTAAACAAGGACTTAATTTGCAAATCTGATTGTTGAGTCTACCCTTTTCTATCTTAAGGAAATCTTAGGGAATAAACTGTCCCCTTAATGTCTATTTTGACCAAACGTCTGTCTGTACAACTCACAAATAAAGATACCTGTTCTTGTTTTGTACTGTCTTTAAATACGGAGATTTATTTAGCTGAGATGAACCTGCTTTTTAAAAACATAACATAAACCAATAATGTTAGTCACCTCTAATGGCAATCCTAAATTTTGTACACAGGATGTGCACTTTATGACAAAGTCTCTTTCATACTGCTCAACCGGTGGCTAATCACCTTTATAGGTAACTTCATTTTGTACTGCTATGAAAATAAGAGTCCGCGTGGGGAATGATTAAAATAGGACGATGAACTCAGCATAAAGAAACATCATTCACTTCGTTCCCTGACTGCTTTACCAGGTTATGCTGTCATTTCAGGATCTAAATAACAAGATGCACATACTCTGTTGGAAGTAAGGTTCTCTAGAATGGCAAAAGATAAGTCATCAGAGTTTAGCCCAGTCAAAATGTGGAACTTGGAATTTCTATAGAAGCTAAACATCACTGATACTGACCCTAACCACCATTCTGATGAAAACCAAGAAGCTGTTATTTAAATTCATCTTATAGCATTGATGCAGGGCTTTCGATCAATTAAAATGGCTGCCACTAATGAGCATTATTGCTGTTTCTCATCGCCCCCAATGTATGTTCAACAAGGGCCCATGGATTTAGGATGGAATCTGATGAAGAACATTTTGCTGAGGGCCCTTCAGAACGGTGAACTTTTTCTACCGTGAAAAATACCGAGGGATTCCCAGGGAGCATAGTCATCCTAAGCAACAATTTGGCCAGCAGGCGTTCTAAGATACACAGAGTACCAGCAGTTCTACCGATTTCTCTTACTTCGCTGAAATGATTCATCGTCATGTGTCCCTCAAACTGGTAATTAATTTTTAATCTCCAGATTCAAGAACATTTCCACCTGCCCACACAAACAGACGCTTATTTTCCATCTTTCCCTCTTGAAAGAAAAACAAGTTTTAAGATGGATAGCAACATTATAATGGCAACAACCTGCCAGCTCAACAGGGAGCTGTAATGTATTGTCGAGCATAATGGTCTTGTACCATTCTGCTTCATGATTTATAACACAGCTTGTGTGTTCGTTGGCAAATCGCCGATCATGCTGTATTAAATTAGGATATTTTAAATTACCACAAAGATCTACCGTCAAACATTGTAGGCTACTGAATGGCTCCTTTCCAACACCCATCAAATGTCAGAGCAAGAGAAAGCCGGACGGACATGTGCCTTTAACATTTTTCTTTTTTGATGGGAGGGTGACTGTCTGTCCAACCACTCCGTGCAACTAAAAAAAAGTCATTTTGAAGCAATAGTGAAGAAAGAATAAGTCCAAAGATGAGGGCAAAAGTCATCTTTCTTCCTTTCTTTTCCTCTGACCAAAGGTGATAGGTAGAGATGGGCGCAAACCTAAAAATGAACCA